ATCATTTTGTTCAACCCACTGAATTAAAGCTGAAAGTCTGAACTTCAACTGCATCTGAACTGTTTTGTTTAAATTCATTGTGGTGATGTCTAGAATCAAAATTAGAAAAATGTTGTCTCTGTCCAAATATATATGGACCTAACTGTATATATAAAACATTCTTTTGTACTTCTGTTATGTTCACTTACACTAAAGTAAAAATCCTGGCTTTGATTATGATTACAGTTTTCTGCTAAATAAATGCTCTAAAAATTACATTATCTTTGCTTTTTATGATAATTTTCTATCGCGATATATACCGTTACCTTGAAAGGATTCAGTTTATACCGTGATATGAATTTGAGGTCGTACCGCCCAGCCCTAATTTGCACCAAATGATTTTCCTGTTCACACAGTAAACCACACAACTGACAGGCAGTTTTGACTACTAATCATCACAGAGCCTACTGTCRCCAACAAGTTGTTTGTCACATAAAAAATGGTGTTTGCCAACTGGAAGTACGTCATCAAATACATTTAATGATCAACAGTTTCTGCAATACTTCGTATGCCACATAATACTATGACACATTCAGTCCCATTCTCGTTTAAACCTCCGTGGGTCATCTTCATCACATTGAGATGCCTAATGGCACTGAGGTACTGCCGTGTGATTGGYTGATTAGCTTTCTGTGTTAACAAGGAACTGAACAGGTGTTCCTAATAAAGTGGAAGTGAGTTGTGACATCTAACTGCACAGTGAAGAGGGGGCCATAAAACATCCAGTCTTTCACRCTTTGATGCAGCATTCAGGCCGTCCCTTTATTTGTGGTCACACTATTAGTGCTTCCTTCTCGCTCATCTCCACACTGACAGGTGGGTTTGTTCTGCCGTCGTCCCATCGTCGCTCTGTCACTGTGTCATGTCTCGCTCCTGCTCAACACTTCCACCATGCCTGTCCGCTGCAGCTCGTCCTTCTTCTACTGTCATGCTCTTCTCATCTTCCTCTTCCTTCCTGTCTCCCGCTGCCTGTGGATTAACAGTTCACCCTTTCATCCCCGTGCTCACAGACTCAGCTAGTTCCCCTGAGTTTCTGTCTTCTGTCTGTGTTGATAAGTTTTATCTCCCTCCTGCTCTCCTGTAAATACTTTGAAGAGGTGCCCAGAGTAACTGCAGAACACAATGGTGTGTCACCACTGCTCCCTTGTGGTATTGTTCTTGACTATTTAGAGGGGCTGATGTGTAGAAAACCACGTCTTCTGGTTGAAGTTGAACTGCTGTTGCTCGATGAAAGATGACTCTGGAAACAAGGCTGGTTTGAACAGCAAGAACCTTTGTTTTGTAGTTCAGGAGACACAGCCTAAAAAACCAAATTGTGGCCTCCAAGCCAAATGATTCACCAAGTAAGAAAGATGTAGAAACGAAGGCCAAGGGCGGGGGCGTACAGGGCTCTTTATACATTTTCCACAGATGTACATAAATCTTGTCACGGTATACCTCAAGCGTTCTTCTTTCCTAATATGGTGATATGTGCCGAGCTCTCAAGCTGGAGGCTCAGGGGCCTCACATCTGTGCATTCCTGAGACAAACCCCACACTCTTAGGCACTACAGGGCCTTTTGAGCCCCATGCCCCCGCCGGCGGGGGCAAATCGTATTTTTTTTGCTTTTTTTTATTAACTAACGTTCTCATAGGTAAACGTATACATGTGTGGTATCTATAGAAACGTCAGAATCTTGGCTAAAAACTCATATAAACTATTTCTACGTCCACCAGACACRGATAAAACAACAAGCAGTTGAATCTGTTTGTAAACAAGCTGCACAAAATGGCGTCTTATATCAAGTTTATTAAGTTTTGTAACTAAAAACTTTTTTTTAGGTGGTGCCAAAATGTGCCAATCTGTGCCAAAGGAAAAAAACACGCCTAAATATTTTAAAACTAAAATCTCTGTAACTTTGTTGTAGTTTACTTCAGCAGCATAAGGTTTTACACAGGTAATGTACATAAGTGGACTCATGGTTTCCAAGAGTTTTTAGCCTGATTCATTATACTTTTGAAAAGGTTATATACTGTATAATGCAGAAAAACCTCAGGCGAGGGGCAAAAAAAGCTATTTTTTTCTATGTTCCATCCTCAGTATGTCTGAAACAAAAGCATATGATGTGATACTTACACTCCTGATGAAATCTCTCAAGTGTTAGCTTTATTTTGATCTCAGGGGTATTTATATGGTGTTTTTAGGTGCTGAGATACACCCAGTTACGTTTGGGCATGCTTTTTCGAGCACAAACTTCAAGAAAACCCCTTGGGGTTTAAGAGGTGTATGTATGAACCAGTGACAATGGGTGATCTTGGCTTTGGGTGCTTCCAGGTTCTCAGCTAACTTCCTGTTTGTCTCTTTTAGGTGAAGCTAAAGTCTCTTACTCCAGTAATTTTTAATGTGCTAATTATAATGATTGGGCCTAATGAATTATTTAGGCCTGTTACGGATGTAAAGGATTGTTCCCGTCATCCGTGGGTCTTATTGTTTCCCAGGTTTCATTTACAGATGCTATTTGTAGGTAATCATTGTCATTTAGGCCAAATGTCTCTGCTGTCAATACTCTGGTGTCTTGTTACTGCCTTCCCCATCACTTGCTGCTGACATAATGATTTGTTCTGTGAGCTAATGACCTGCTGTCGTCTTCTTTCCTCCCAGCCCTGTCTGCAGTATTGGCCAGAGCCGGGGCTACAGCAGTTTGGGCCGATGACGGTGGAGCTTCTTTCCAGAACAGCTGATGATGACATCATCATCCGTCTCTTTCGGATTCAGAACATCACCCGGGTAAATTAGCTTACAGCTGTTTGAGAAAATCCTCTCTTTTCAAATTTCAATGACGTTAAGCACTTCAAGTCAGCAAGCCTCAGATTATCTAACTGTTTTAATTGAAAAACCCAGCATTTCTTTAAGAAATCCAAATTATCCACCGTCATATTGACCACAGGCTGCAAAGACCACTTCATCTTCATGATGCCTCTGATTGTTCAAAACTCACTATGGGACCACCCACAACCTSCACAGACATAAACTTTCAGAAATGAAGCGAGCAGCACAGAACAAAAACTGCTCAGCTGTTCTGATGTGGAGCAGAACCCATTAAATGTGTGACAGACATCTCCAGGAGTATTCAGTATTAAAGATAAAACAGATCTCATGTAATCAGCACTCAGATTACAGTATGTGTGGAGGATCAGTCTCAGATACTACAATGTAGAATATAGATTAAACCATTAAATGAACTTGAAAACCAAAAGAGGAAATAGATGAAACTAGAGAATTTGCATTTCCGGTGAAAATGCTAGAGTGAATGCCTCTTGCTGATAACTTTAGCTGAAAAACAGCTAAGAAGCAAACTGACGATGTCACTTGTAAGAGGTGAGCTTAAGGTGGCATTAAGCTTTTCCCACATCTCTCATACACAAGGTTATGAGGAAACTTTTACCA